TGGTCCCTTTGTCCATGTGTCTGGCATAGTTACCAGACATACAGCAGGAGGTATAGGAGGGGAGAGAAGGAGGGCTAGGGAAAGGGAAAAGGGAAGAAGAAGTAATTCCTGTGTAACTTTAAGCAGGTCGCAACCTTCCAGAATCAACTACACAGTGCCTAGCGTGAGTGCTCAATAAATGCTTGTTGAATAAATGAACACACTGACAACCTAGCTTCGATTTCTCCAGATATAAAATGAGAAACTAAATGATCATTAAAGTACCTACCAATCCCAAGATTCAGATGTTTTTGGCCCACAAGACAATCCAAAAGAATACAAAATGTATACATTAGTTTAATTTATTAATTTAGTCTTAGATCTAACACATCATTGTATTTGCTCTTTAAAAGGAACAAAGTATAAAACTATTTTTAAAAAACCCTGAAAATTATATAAATTTTTTAAAGCATATTAAATACGGACCTTTAAAAAGTATAATCAAGATGTGTCATGAAATCATAAGGGAAACGTAATAGGTGAAAAAATAAACACTGACGGTGACGCCAATTCCTCTGTCACAGTTGTACAATTCAGTGGCATTTAATACAGTGACAATGTTCTACAATCGTCAACACTATCTCGTTCTAGTACATTTTCATCACCAAAAGGAAATCGGTATCCATTAACCAGTCACTTCCCAGTATTACCTCCCCTCCCCAGCCTCTAGCAACCATTAATCTGATTTCTGTCTTCATGGATTTGCCTATTCTGGGTATTTCATATAAACAGAATAAAACAATATTCGGCTTTTTGTGCCAAGCTCTTTTCACTTAGCATGTTTTTCAAGAAATATCATATCCTTTCATATTAATGTAAATCATGAAAAAAAAAGAAGATACATTGGAAACTAAATGACATCTGAGGTAAGTAAGTGAGTCAGTGCAATTACCTTCCAGAATGCAATTCAAGTTTTCAGGACTGATTGGTGCTTAAACACTGATCAAATGAACAATACAGCTTTAACAGTTTAAATGCAGCATACAAATCTTTAGAATTCATGTCCACCAAATTATTAATCGCTCGATTTATTTTCATATGTCAGAGTTCTCATCACAAAACTATGTTGTAATGTTATAGGGAATCAAGACTATTCTCCACTTTATTTTAAATCTTTCCAATACAGGTAACAATTTTTAAAAGTTACCAATCGACATAAAAGACCCAGTTGACATGACTAAATATTCACTGGGTAATTCTCCTCTTAAACAGATGTAGTACCTATTATGGTTTCCTATTTCTATGGTTTTTCTTATAATCAAATAATATGGTTAAACCTGAATGATACTTCAGTTTTTCAATACTACAATTTTGTGAGCTGAGAGATTTTAAGATAAGCCGAAGAGGTTACTTACTCAAATCTAAACTTAAAGACCAAAACTACTTAACACAGGCTGATTAGCAGAACAAGTTTTTTAAAACTATGTACTTAATCGAGGTTTTTCATCACCTGGTCAGAAATTTGAAGTCATGGGATAAAGAAGCAATAATGACAATTTATAGGGAAAGGAGGATTTCAAGAAAAAAAAAAATCTAGAACAGCAAAGGGTAGTATCTCTTTTTTTCAACTTCAATCTTTTGAGCAATAACAAATTATTGCTGCTGTTCTTATATTATTAGACCACCGAATAATAATGTAACAATTAATGTTACTCTTTGACCGGAAGGGGAATAGAAATCTAACTTTAGTCAGTTCCTCTGCCAAGGAATGAACCAACACAGATAGCAACTTATTTATCTGTTTAAGGATCTTGTCTAAGGAAAAAAAAAAATCCTAATATTTTATATTAGAAAAAGGTAAAAATTAAAACTGATGAATTTACTTTTACTGAGAAAGGAGCATTTGACCTGATGAGTTGGTTAGTCTTAGAGTCCAACAGAAATGCAGTTTTATTATTACTTCCATACACATACACTACCACCGCCACTAGAACTAGCTATGTACTGAAGAATCACTTCCTATCATAATATTTGCATGCAAATAGGTTAAGAAAATGATTTGAGGGATGCTTAAAATTTTATTGGCGTTAGTGAAAAAGAAACATATTTCCCTTGTTTTTCAGTTTGCTTCAGAAATGCTTTTCTTCACAGTGAAGGATAACTCAGTCCAGCATGTCAAAAAGATAAAAAATTATAAAATAGGAGATTCATATCAACGAGCTTCACTGCATTTCCATAAAGCATTTCATGAATCATCCTTGTAACCCACTTCGTGGTAGTTTATTAATGAAAAGTCACTCCCCGCATAATAAATTCGAACGTCAAACATTCTGAATACAAAATGTCAGTTATGAAATGTTCTAAGGAAAAAAGCACCACATGATGTATCCCCATTAATACATCTCAAGATATATTAAAATTTACTTGGCCAACTTATGAAGATTATACATGCAAATAAATATACATATAAACAATGAATTTATAGAATTTTACCACTCACAGATGCAATAAAATACTTGTAAAAGTTCAGCGTAAGACCCTAGTTTTTGCATAGCATTTTCAGAGCAACATACCATACTTAGTTAATTTCTATCTTCTTTTTGGTACTACCAAATAATTCTTTCCCGCTTATTAGGAATCAAATAATCTAGGAAACAATATTTTCCAAAGTAATTTCCTTATATCTAAATGTCCCTTCTCCTCCTGCTTTTGTAAAATAGAAAAGTGAACCATGTCTGGACACATTTCTCTCAAAAACCATCCCACACTCATCGGTACCTATACTTTGAGAACCTGTTTTTTCATCCATAAAATGGAAACTTGAAAGGACTTACATTTTGAAATTACTTTGATCTTTTAAATCAAAGAAAATAACTGCATAAAAAGTGACTTTAAAAAGAAACCATCCTTCCTCTTCCTTTATTTAGAAAGGAGTTTAATGCTTTAAGGTTGGCCTCAACTTATACATGTCAAATTTTTTGTTTGGTAATCAGATTTAGATCAAATCCTAACAATACCTTTTGGATAAGTCACTGATGAGTTAAAGGCATAACTAATATTCTCTTGCTTCCTAGGCCTTATGAGAATGTTAAGTAAAACTACTTATAGTGGTATTTAGCTAAACAGCCAAACACATAGCAAAGAAATTCTTTCCATCAAAAGCTTTGTCCAATCTTTTGAGAGAATGAAGGTCAATTGCTATTTTTCTACTGCAATTCTAAACATCTATCTCTACAGGTTCCAATCGCATCACCTTCCAATATGGTGTGTCATGCATAAAAAGAACATATTTTTTACTGCTTGCATAATTATTCCTTTGAAAATTTTAAAAATTAAGAAACCTCATGTCTTTTTAGGGTGAGATGCAAAATATGAAGAAATGTGTCTTTTGCTTTTTGGTTTTTTTTTTTAGGCGAGGCAACCCTTGGTTGACCTCACAGATTGCAAGGACCTTGGCAGCTTACAATCCTTTATTTTTTATTTTTTATGCCTACAGCACTTGGTCTTCCTAGGTGGTCTCCCATCCAAGTACTAACCAGGCCCGACCCTGGTGTTTTGCTTCTAAATGCTAAACATTACATTCAAGTCACTGGAAGTAAAAATCAGTTATCAATATAGTAATATAAATTGCTCTATCTTCAAGGGAGATGGAAATTTCGTTGAAAACGCCATTATCTTCAACATTACTAAGATCCCAACATGCATTGCTAGGGGATAGCAACAATATTGATGGGACAGGCAGTACGGGGTCAAAGACCAAGCAAACTATTGATACTGATAAACCAGAAACTCAACCTTTAAAATCTTTCATTGATAAGGTTGAAAGGATTCCTACAAATATTTTTGTAGGATTTAATCCATTATTGGTCTACTTCTACTCTCTTTACTTATCCTAGAAATCTAATACATTCACATGACTCTGCAACCACTAAACAAGAGAATGAATGATACTAGACTAAATGTTAGTGCTAATGAACTGCAAGTTGCACTACAATTAACCTCAAACAGAAGAAACACTAGTAAAATACTAGTAATAATAACTAATTTAAAATACTAGTAAATACTAGTTTTTTTAAAAAATGTCCAACAACCAAGGTACCCAATGTATTCTGTCATATGGCTATAATATTGAGAAAATATATTCATTTAACTCAATAATTAATAATAAATTACCACTACTCTTAATTCCGGATTACACACGTATATACATACACACATTTACCCACACCAATAACATATTATTCAAAAGAATAGCTGGCATGTCCCAGGCTTTCCTGTAAGTTCTCATACTTTGCTGTGAATCAGAATCACATGAAAGCCTTTGTTCAGATTGCTGATTCCCAGTGTTTCTGGATCATTAAATCTTCAGAGAAGCCCAGTAATTCCCATTTCTATCAAATTCCCAGGAGATGCACATGCAACCAGTCCAGGGTCCACCCTTTGGGAACCACTACTGCAAATGATCTGTGAGTCTTAAAAGCCAATAAGTTTAGGAGGGGGGGTTGGACAGGGAGAAAAAGGGAGGAAGAGAGGGAAGGAGGGAGGCAGGCTATGGTAACAGGCAGTTCTGGGGAAGGAGGCAGCAGATAAAAGTGAATTTAGATATTTCCCTCCATCCTGATACCTGCCCTTTATCTTGCTGGTTAGCAAATACTAAGGAATCAAAGACTTCTCAAATAACAATTTACTTGGAGGACATACAAACCTTTTCATGCTTTAAAGGCTAGATACATTATTCCCATTACAAAATAATATTGCCAGAAACTCTTCAGCCTTTCGATATCCCTAGAGGGGACTACTTTCAAGAAGACACTAAGGAGGCACAGAAAGCTATCTAATGAGTTTTCCATATTAAAAAAGAAGATTAGTGCTTACCAGTAAAACAGGAGAGCAACTATCAACAAGCAACTCCTACAACATGCAGAAATCCGCTCTATAGAAACAATATGATTGTGTTTGGAATCTGTCAAATAAGTATTAAAATTTTATTTAAATGAAAGTTTTTAAGTTACTGAGCCATATAAAGGGAAAATATTAATTTTATTAGAATTTGAACGAATGTTGCACAAAGAACACATTTTAACAAAACAGTATGGTGGCATAACAAACAAACAAACAAACAGCCAAAGATGTGTAAAAGAAATATAAGGTGGAAAAATGTTAAGTACCTCATGATCCAGTATAGAAACAAGAAATCTAAACTTAAAAACCAAGGATTTTAAAACGCACAACCATAAAACAAGAAGTTAATGTTTGTGCTATCCTAACCAGACACATTCTTCAGCAAAACTTTATAAAGCAGAGTTCTGTTTTACAGTATTTGATATCTTATTTCGAACTTCTTCGTAGAAAGAGGCTGCTTATGTAATTCAATCTCACAGTTGAAAAAGAAAGTTTAAGCACTGAGAAATAAGTAGTCTACTAATTAAAATGACAGGTGAGGCAAAACAATTGATTAGTCTTCAGTGCTATATTTTCAACTGTCTAAGGAGTTGATTCAACCAAAACAAGTCTTAAGCAGTTCAGAATTCTTTCCTAATGCCCAAGGAACGCCTCTGCCTAGCCTGATTGCCATATATGGGAATCAAGAACCTAGTAACAAAAGAGCACTCTCGGGGACAAATGTAGGAAGAGAAGAAAAAACAGAGTTTTGCTATTTTATAACAAAATAACTTGTCACCATTTCAGATCACCAAATGCCAGAAAGTAGTTAAAACAAATTATTTAAGTACACGTCCCTATCTTTGCAATTTATTTCTAAATACTGATATATTCATTTTTTTTAAACGGACCACATCAGGTTAATAATAGTATTAATCAACTCGAAAACTATAATAAAATAGTTCAAGAATAGGCTTTTGAATATTTTTCTGTCATACCTTAATCTTTACTCAAAGATGTAATTCTTACTTTTTTGGCAGAGAAGTCATAGGAAATTAATCTGGAAATATTTTAAAGAGATTGTCAACCATGAAGTTTCTGCATCTCAAGATTGTCATCTTACAAAGATATCAAATTTCACATTTTTAAATGTCTTAAAACATAGTTGTGATTATAAACACCAAAAGGCAAAAATTTTAAATGCTTATGACAAAAAGTTAAGCCCTTTGCATTCTGAATAGTTGAAATTTATTCACGCAATATGCCCAATTCAGACTTAAAATGAGGTATATTTTCTTCTCCACAAATATCAAATACCTAGCAAATAATATCATGAACAGATTCAAATGAAAATAAATTCACAGGCTTTTTGTTTGTTTTTGCTTTAACCTGTCACATTGCCATGAGTCTTTGGACGTGGAGTCTAACAAAATAGAAAGTTGCATATGGACACTCTCTAAATGAATACATAGGGTGAAAACATCTTTGTGAATTATTTTTAAAACACGATAAATGTCATTACCAAATAACCATGATTTTAAATATTATGTAAGTATATATTGGAGATCATCTAAGTATCAACAACTGTATAATTTGTATAAGGGGAGCACTAGAAAATAAAATCTTTATAATGCTCTTAAGCAGGGCATAAGCAACTGAATTTTTTAATCTGAAAAACCTATCCTGCAAAAATCTGAATCAAAGTTTTGCTTTTTGAATGCATGGGTTGCAACCCAGAGAAAACATGAGGAATATACTGTTTGGTCAGGATCTTGTTAGTTAAAGAAGCAAAAAATTTAAGAACCAAAATATGCACACCATTAAAAATACTAATTCTGAAAATTGTGTAGCTAAAAATTAAATCACCCTGTCCAGCAAGTTCCAAATATTTCACACGTTTCAAACATTAAGGCAACTTTTTCCAACTAAACAGTACTTTATAAAAATATATGTCACTTCAAAACATTATATACATAGTGACAATAAATTTAGCTAGTTGTAATCTTTAATACATTAATAAAGTGTCACATATTACAAAGAAATTATACTAGGTGCTTGCATGTATGTGCAAGTGGAGCTGCAGTTTTTAAAGTACAGGTTTTAAAACTGAGCGAAGTGAACGTCCTTCTTTCGTGAGTTCTCTCGTCACACACATACATGGCAGTGGGATGGCTTCCTCCCGTTTCTCTACAATATTGTAACTGCATTTCTTCAAGTGGTCAGCCATGCTTAGGATGTCAGCAAATTTCCAGTCATTAACAGAACAAAATGCGGTACTGAATCGCCATACCTAAAAGAAAATTCTACTTTAGATTTAAACAAGTCAACTTACAGGCACAGGTATCAAAACATACTGACTGCATACATTTCTCTCGTTAGAGAAATATCCAATCTAGAGCTTCGAATAGTTAGCCTACATAACTGAAAAGTAGTAAATCCATTTGTTTATCAAATATTTATAAATTACTTCTTTGAAATTATGACTTCGATAAATGTAATAACCAAAAGGACAAAAACCAACTTTAAAAATTACATCCAAACTGGCTTCCTAAGCAGTTTTTTAAAAAGCCATAAGCTCATGAATTCAGAACTTCCTAAAATAACCTCATGAATTCAGAACTACTTCATAAAATACACATTAATAAGTGTTAATAATCAAAAAAAGACAAAAACCAACATTAAATATTACATCCAAATTGGCTTATTTTTAAGCAGTTTTTTAAAGTCATAAGACCATGAATTCAGAACTACTTCCTAAAATAATCCGTATTGCACACTATTCTTTCATCCTATCCAACTGGCTATATATAGAACTATCCGTAGTCTGGAGATACTGAAAATACAACTGTTATTTTCTCTCCAAGTTTTTCTCCCATTCCTATTACACTATATGAAGCACACTAAAAAAAATTCTAGAATACTGTGCCAAACGACCTTATCTTTCTACTACTTACAAGTACTAAAAGTACTTAGTTATATTAAAGAATACAGGGGCTTCGACTTGTTAAGAAAGGTTCTGAAAACTTATATAGAAAGGACTTTTTTAAAATGAATCTTATTTTACTCCATATCATTGTAAAATGCATTTCTGGGCAAAATATTCACTTGCTATCCCTGTTTATATGCCTGCTGGTAAGAAATGTAGACTACTAACCCTCTACCCACTCAGCAGCTCTAAGCCCTGAATCAGTATCTTCTTAGTCTAGCAATGCCTGTTGTGGCTCCTTCACATCTTTACAGTTCAAAATATAAAGCTACCTGAACAGAGGTAATAAGCATAAATGGAGCAGGACAGACCTGGATAACAAGCATGAATGGGACAGGACAGGCCTGGGCATCCCAGCTATGCTCATCCACAAGTAAATGCCTGGGGGAACACGGAGTATACGCTAAAACAGCAGACACTCCAGAATGTGGCCGTAGATTTGAGGGAAGCCCTCAGTACTCACTAGAACTTCTCAGGAAAGGATGGCAATGACTTCCGGGGTGGCCAGATGTTTTCAGAATTGTGTGAACACAATTACTTTTCAGCTGGCAACAGAAGTCACCATTGCTCAGCAATGGGGCACTCACTCACTATCTTCCTGAGGGTCGTATTCATTACCATGGATAGAGTCATTTACCAGAAATCAGTGAAGGTCTAGAGAGTAGCTACCAAGAGGCACTATAGATTATAATTCCCCACACCCACGAAAGTACGGGAAAATTCAGAGTTCTTCTTAAGCTTCGGCAGAACTAGGTAGCTGAAAGATTCAATAGTGGCAGACAGCCTCCCTACTTCCACATAGAGCCTGGTGAAGCAAACTCAGGAAAAAATGGATGGCTCCCACCTCTTGATGACAAGGTTTCTTAGTAATGGACCAATTTTGCATTCAAGTATCAAGTTTTTACTTAGTGCCTGCTATATGGCAGGTGCTATGCTAGGCAGCAGATATTGTGGCTCCTAGAGAATCTCACTCATCAAGGAACTTACAGTCTAATAAAAGAAACTGACAACGTATCAATAAATTTCAAAACAGCATTGTGAGCACTTTAGTAGGGATGCATATAATGGGGTACCACATGAACAAAGCACAGTGAACCTCCCTGAACACTTCACGGTCGGTTTCCAGAAGTCAAGATATGAAGAGTAAGCAGGATATAGAAACGAGATGAAGATCACATGCTTCAAAGTGAGGTTCCCTAGGCTTGAATCCATAGGGTAGATGGACAAGTTACTGAACTGCTCTAAACCTCAATTTCTTTATCCATAAAATAGGAATTAAATAAATCAACAAAAGTAAAATACTTATTACTTATTACCACATTATCGTATTACAAGTGCTCAAATGTAGGTATTAGGGTCAGCATACTCAAAGGCCTTAAGGCAAGAAAGAAAACATCAGGTAATACAGTCAATAATACTGTACTAACTATGTATGGTGTCGAATGGGTGCTAGACTTATCAAAGTGATTACTTCGAAACTTTAGCATCTAATCACTGTTGTACACTTGAAACAAATACAATATTGTATGTCAACTGTAATTGAAAAATAAAAAATTATTTTAAAAATATCGGACAACTGTAAATAACAACATGATTGGAATATAAAGTGACAAGAGTCAACTGAAGAGGTTAAGTAAGGACAAAATTATAAAAAGCCTTAAATGTATCATCAGGGAGTCAGTCTCTATCCCAGAATGGACAAACATTTTTAAAGTTTTTAAGCACTGCGGTGAAAGAACTGTATTTAAGAAAGTATCTGTCCCTCTAGCTCTTATACAGGGAATAGCTGAACAAGGACACAACTGGAAGCAGAAACCCAGTGGGGCAACTGCAGAACTCCAGGGGAGAACTAAAGATGGGACTGAATAGGGAATGGCAGTGGAAATGGTGACGCAAACCTGACAGGTAGGAAGAAGGGAGACTCAATACGACTTTGTGATTACTTAGATGTGGGAAAAAAGGGGGAGAGGGAGTCAATACTAACTCCAAAGTTTAAGCAATATGATAGAAGATAATGCCACTTTCTGAGATCAAGAGAGGTAGAGAAGTGGAGTAGTTTGGACATGTTGAGCATGATGAAGCTGTGAGATAATATAGTGGAGATGTCCAGTACATGCTTGTATATACTGGTCTGGAGTTCAAAGGAGAAAATGGCCAGCATACAGATGTGTGAGAAATCTGTATAAATGACAGCAGTTTAAACTCCAAAAGTAGGTAAGGTTTTCTGCAGGAACAGAACTTCAGAAAATATATCCCCTCACAGGTCATTACTGGTGGGCAAGGACAAAAAAGAGGCCACACTCAGAATGTGCCATCTCAAATGGAATATATCGAATGATCTGGAAAATAAAATACACACATGTACACATGTATACGCAGCAAGTAAACTTTCTGCTACCAGAATTCTCTTTTGGGAAAAAAAAAAAAAAAACCCATAAAATAATGAGTGTGTTCATTGATTGGCCAAAGCCTCAGAACACAGAAGGAGATGTAGAACTCAAAAACGGGAGCAATGAGTGGAAGAAAAACTTAAGGGTGGTAAAAACAAAGTAGTCAAAAGTTTGAGCTTATTAATTTTCTTCCACTTTATAAAAGGCAAAGTTTCATATTATAAATGTTCTAAAATGAAAAATAACTTCTAGTTTCTATTGGATAGAGCCTCAAACAGAAGCTGGGCAAAAAGCAGGCTGTCACAGGAGGAAAACAGTGGCGCTGGAACTGGTGCCCAGCTCTGCCCAAATCTCCAGCTCAAGCTTCCAGTAAGCAACGCTCTCTCTTATTGTACTAAACCCAGGGTCCCCACCAACAATATCAAACCCTACTGCCCTCTTCTTATCTCACTTCAACCTAATACATAGGCACATCCACCTATTTATGTCCTCTATACCCCAAATACTCCACTGGCACTTAACAGTACCAGTAGTTGTAACTTTTTCTCATCTCTCCCTATTTAAGTCCTACCTGAAACAAGCAAATCCTAAGAAAGAAAATGCTAAGAATTGAAAGAAACTGCCAATTATAAGCAGTAAAACACCTTCTTCTTGCTTCCCCCACTGTCCTACGGTGAAAATGTTCCAGATGGAGCCCAAATTAGAAGGTGGTTAACATGGCTTCTAAGGGAGTTGTTACAGAACTGAATGAGTACAGAACTGCTCAACTGAAAAAAATAGAAGTGGCCTCTGCCATATTAGATTAGAATCTAGTTCTAGGATATCTTCAGTAAATATGTAATTATGACAAACAATTCTAACTATCCCAGTTTTTCATTAATTATCATTATAAAAAGTTTGTTGTCATATTGTTTTAAGGATGGTCAATTTTGAAAGATACAATTAATTCAGCAACATTATTAAATGCTTATTATATGCCAAGGGGTTGATACAATTAAGATTAAACTAACCTTTTCTTTTATCTGCCATGATGAATTTCCTTCTGGATACTTCCTTTTCCCCCACTGTAGTATGACCATTCCACGAGACTGAAGCAGACTGCCACATACATCCCTCATTAACTTGGATACACATGAGAGCTGGCATAGACTGAAGCCATCAAGAAAGCCTGCAATATGTTGCAGAACCTCAAAAGGAAGACTACTTAGATGGTCGCTATGTAATCCCAACACACAATTTCTAGCAGGCTCTGCTAACACTGTGGATACGCATGGCTGAACTCCAAATGACCGCAAATGGCGGTCGTGTATAATCTTTGCTCCTTGTGTTGATGGACAAAATCTACGCTGAGAGTAAGTACAACCATAATAGGCTAAAGGACACCTCTGTTCCATCCAGCCATTGAGTCCAGCATGAATATCACCATGTACATTCTTAAAATGGGATGAAAATTCTCTTCTTCTAAATAACTGTCCACAAACAAATGTAAACATTGAACGCTGCTTGGGTTGGTACCTAGCGACACATTCCAAAACTAAATCCAGCCCAAGTGTCTGGAAGGGACTTGGATTTGAAAGCTGTGGGTTGGCATGATCACAAGCTGAAGCTGAAGCTATTTCCCCAACCATTGTATTTGTAGCTAAAATTGCAGATGGAAGCGAAAAAGTCTGAGTCCCAAAGTCAACGTGATAAACATCGACCATGCGACTATCAGATATACCCCTCCCACCTGGAGAATCTCCTAGACAAAACAGTAATGCTGCTGTGATTAGATCTATTCCTTGGAGGCCCATTGGATCTTCTGCTACTTCCAAATCTGATGTATCTACTGCTTTATCTTCCTTTGGTTTAGACCAACATGAATTAGAAAGAAATTTGAACGAAGGAGGATGACTGAAAGATAAGACATCCACGTTCTTCAAGTCCCCTAAGTCTACTTTTCGCCAACATAATTCTTCATCCTCATCATCTGGCATGAAGATATGCTGAACTGTGCCATTAGGCAAAGCATTAGATGGTATTACTTCCCTAAGTTGTGCTGCTACCGAAAGTGAACTGGAAGGTTTTGAAGTGCCATCTGATGCTACACATTCTCCATTTGTTAAGTTACTTTGTTTTGAATCACTATGTGAATTCTGATTCTGGTCTATGACCTGTGTACATAAATTTTCCAAAGGAAAGCCATTACAAAGAGCAGAAGTGCCATAAGCACTGCTATTCAAGTCACATAATAAATCACTTGAACCATTTTGTTCAGGCTGGGCATTTTGGCTTGTATTGTTATGGTCAATTCCACCTACTGCTCCAATCTCATCCTCATGAAGATAGTCCTGGTCTTTCAAGTTTCTATTCTGTAAGCTTTCTCTGGCATTTTGCTCTTCGTTCGTTTCATCTGGGGAATCAGAGAGACCTGTACTTAACATGCCAATGTCTCTTGTGGCTGTATTCAGGATATCTAAAGCAGCAGCCAAACTTCTGGTTGTTTCTACAGTAGCTTGATAAAGTGCACCATAAGATTCTTCATCAACAGACACTAAACCATTAGCATGTGGTATCTCTGGGATATCTGATTTAACTGATATTTGTTCTCTAGGTGCTGATACTTTATCAGTCGCTTTTGACATCATGGTGGCTACTTTGAGAGATTCCAAGAGCATCCTCTGGTCTTGAAGGGCCAGTGCCATATCTAATTGTGCCACTTCATCAACATCTCTGCTTAGATTCTCATACGATTTCCGGTCTGCATAACTAACTGGCCATCGGTTCCATTCCATAGTGCAGCACACCACACTTGCAGGACATGTTTCTAGATGTTCAGCAACTTTATTTCGAGCCATTATAAATGGACATCCAAAGTCACTATTTAAGCAAGGCACTCGTTCAAATGGACATAACAGTCGATGCTCATCAGCTTTACAAGAATGGAAGACTGCTCCGCAAACCAATGGGCAACCAATCAAATCACAAGAAATCCCAGGCTCCGGTCTGGTCATACACCGTCTACTGACACAATTCACGCAGTGTGGATGCTGCAGCTCTTCCTCCATAATGGCCCGTCCAGCTCTAGTTGTTGAAATGGAAAAAAAATAAGAAGTTAGGCAAAAAAAGGTCAATTTAAAAAAATTGTTTAATAATAAAAATCAAATCTTGAAGGTACACTGGCTTATCTTAGAATGAAATATATAAACATATTTGACAAGTTTACATATAAACAATCCGTCTTGAAACAACTTAGACAATTCAGAACAATTCAGTATTTCAACTAAAATGTCTAAAAGTTCATTTTTATATGCCATATAACAATATGCTTAAAAGGCCAAAAGTTTCCCAATATAATACTTAAATTCTAGTATACTATGTAACATATAAGTTAATGCCAAAAACAAGTTAATGAATGTTTAACTTTTAAATTTCAGAATGCTTTAGCTTTTACCTTCTTAATTTCAACTAAACTGATTTTCAAGCAAGCACCTCAAATTGTAGAGATCTCATCATATTCCAAGAGAATAATCTGAATTAGACATTTTCTCTTTATTCTCTCTAAATATATGAATTTAAGATTTCATCTATTGACCGCTCCTTCTAAAATGCCGTAATATATTTCACAACAACTCAACAGAGTAAACCTTAAAAAATACAGAGGATTTTCCCAGAAAATATAATTTCTAGCTCCAGTTCTATGGCTATAAGAAAATCACTTATGTCTCAGGGCCAGTTTCCATTCACTCGTTAAACATCTATTTATTGTTTAACTATCAATACCAGACAGCACGTCTGATGTGGCAATATAAAGATTAGTAAGACACAGTTCTTCCTCTGAAGGAGCTACAGCAGGAGGTCAGAGACAGTAAAAATCACGTCACCTTATGATGTGATCAATACGACAGAAGTAAAACGGTAATACAGAGAAGATAATAATCAGTACTGGTAGAGCTAGAGAAGAATTCATAGTAGTCTTGAAAGATAAGAATCCTAAGGAGGGTAGGGAAGGGGAGGCATTCAACGCTGAAATAACAACATAAGCAAACACAGCAAAGCAAGAATGGGCAAGAGATGTTCGGGGAACTTCAAGTTTCCTAGTGCTGCTGGATCACTATGTGAAATGCAAGGCAGCTGTGAGAGATGAGGCAAATCATGAAGAATGTACTGTATGCTACTCCAAGGAGTTCAAACTTTAATTGGAAATCGCTGAGGATTTTAAACAGAGAAACAGTATCTATAAAATAACATGAGGGGATTGCAGATACCTAATGGTCTTTCCTGCTTTTATCAACAAAAGTGTCATATAAAACTAAGGAAAAGCATCAGCACAATATATTTCTATTTAATTATTGGGCCTATTCAATGTCTTTTTTCCCCCCCATAACATTCAACTTCTTTATTGGCTTGTTCCTACTAGCAGTAAAAACTTTAAAAAGACTATTTTATCTTTACCTAAATAATAAAGTAATATCTCCTTTTGGCTATTCTTTTTTCCTATCCAGTCAAGCTTTCAGAAGGAAAAAAAAAAAATCAAAAAGCCCTTCTAACCTCCCATACTCTTCTCTAATCCAGCTTTTATTTTTTTACCACCACTCATTAAAACTGTGCTCTCAGACCCTCAGTGCTAAATCCAAAGGGCATTTTTTCCAGACCCACCTTCCTCAGTCATTATATCATATTGTTGCCTAATTCCTCCTTTTTTGAACTATTATCTTTCCTTCGTTTTTATGATGTCACATTTTCCTGGTTTTCCTCCTGCCTCTTTGGTTATTCCTTAAACTTTTCTTCTAAAATATTCTTCTTCAGGGATCCATGTCATTTCTTGGTCATTCTATACATTCTCTCCCTGCGTGTTCTCAATTTCTCAAAAGATTCAGTTATCACCAATATGCTAAAACTCATCTATACCTCCTGCCCAGATCCCTCTTCCAAACTTCAGATCTCTCTACAGCTAATTATTTTTTATACATCTCTACTTACATTTGGCACAGGCAACTCACCTCGACAAACACTGTAGTTAAATTATATCACAGTAGATAATAATTTTCTGGATTAGATACTGATTAGCCTATTTTCTTTACTTCAGTGCACAGAAGAGTGATAGCTCTGACCTATTTTTACATAAATTCTTAGTTCCAGGTGGCTAATGTAAACTAATTACTCCTCAAATTGCAACTTCTTTTTCTCCAGTCCAGGTTTGATTTTCCTCAAACTAAAATAAAATCTATCAATTATTGCTAGAGCTTTTGTTGATTAAGTAGAAAAGTTACGAGTTGATAGTATGGTACTTAATGATGCTAGGGGTGACAGGGAGGCATGCATTTATCAACAAAACTGTATTTTTAAATTTTGTTCAAAAATTGCAAATGAGTTAAATATACTTACCCTACAAATTTTATAGGTAAAAACAGACCTATAAATTAAATATAGACATGCTAAAAGAGCCCTAATAGAAGAAATGACAGACTAGCCATAACATTTGTAAATTAAGCAGAAATTCAAAAAGAAACTTTATTAAGAATCAAGACATTTTTTAGTGAGTGATTAGATTGTGAAAACAGCTGTAGCTTTCTTATTTTGCAACCAGACTGAGTTCACCTCACATGCTGAAGGTTATAAACTTGACTGTTACTAAGAGAGAAACCTAAAAATACAAGCAGTTCCAACACAACTGACCACTGCTCTCGGTACTTGTAGGAACAGTTTATGTTATGTACACATCACATGACCACACCAGACAGAACACATCTCAAAAAAGTCACTTAATTCAAAAGCGTTTAAAATAGTAACTGCTACAAACAACTGAGTTAAATGCAAAACAGCAACAACTCTGAAAGGCAGAAGTAGAAAGCTGTCAAGCTTCAAAATAAATAGCATCTTGCATACTATTCCACTCTGAATAAGAAAAATGTTAAAATATAAAAAGCATCCACAGTAATGAGTCCAAAATGTATATTACTTATTGAAGTAGCCTTACAGAGGAAAAAAAGGGAACATTAATTATATCTCTATTTTGTCCTTCTTTACATTATATCATGTCACTTAGTATCACAATCTTTCTAACAACTCATAGGAAACTGAGGTTCAGAAAGGCAAAGATACTTGCCCAAGGTCATCTACCTAGTAAGTGGCAGAGCTAGGATTTAAACCTATATCTGATCAATGCACTTGGACAATACCAGATATGTCTACTTATAAAAGTTGGAGAAAATAAAGCAGACTTCGGTTACTGATAATCCAATTTTAAGATGTTATTTGAGGAATGGAGATTATACAACTTTGCTTGTAGTTTATTCTAACACAATCACCCCTATGGTCAAGAAAAACTTTGTTGGTCCTTTCTAATTATAATAGCACTTTACTTTCCTTTGTATATTAAGTGTTTTAAATTATTTTAAAAACTAACTTACATATATAATGCTTATATAAACATACAGCATATAAACTTAACAATTCTCAAAATAGCTATACAAAGAAAGAATCAAGTTTAATTCCATTTTACTATTAAATATATTAAGAAGTAAGAAAATGCACTAGACAATATCGAAACAGTAGTCTGGGGATACAACCCTCAGTTTCAGAACTTAAAAAGTCCAGATCTATCCTCTTTCTAAACAAGATCACTATTATCAAATTAAATATGCCTCTATAAAGTATTTCATATTGGTCTTAAATCCAATGAAATGGTTTAAAATGTCAATCGCCCATTTATCAGCTGGACAGTGACACAGCAGGCCCAGTAGAAAACATGTTGCTAAAATTGAGCTTCAAGTTCAAGATGAGCTAAATTTAAAACTTCTCAATATTAAGTTTAAATAAAAAAACTTTCTAGAAAAAGAATCTTAACATTACAAACATCTGGAAAAAGTTTCATCAGAATAGAAAATATCTGTACATGATTAAATGCTTTACAGTAGTTTCAATTTTCTCTAACAGAAATTCTTGGCCAACTCATACTCTGTGGCTGATACACAATCCATAAAAATAGTTTTAAGACATGGCATTTTCCCATACAATGAAATGAGGCCTTGTTATTTAAGGCTATTTCTAGACTTAGGAGATGGTCCTTGAAAAAAAACATTTCTTTATTTTTCCAAATTCATTAAAATACATAAGGCAATAAATAAATAAAATATTGCAAATTAGCACAATTTTAAAATATGCTAAGTACAGTCGCCCAAAGTACTCAACACAGTTTGCTGCCTCAGGCTGTTCTTAAGGCCTGCTTCTGCGAGAGAGAGAGAGAGAGAGAGAGAGAGAGAGAGAGAGAGAGAGAGAGAGAGAGAGAGAGAGGGGCAGACACACACAGACACACAGACACACACACAGACACACACACACAGACACACACACACACACCCCCTCTTTTTCTCCCCAACTGCTGCCTCAAATCTTTGTTACAGCTTAAATGTTACCTTCCCACATACCCATACCCAAAGGCAAGGTATAGGTCTTATATTATACTACATGCTCACTACACATTGCATTTTTCCTTGGTAACACTAGTTGCAACTCTAAGTAAATCATTACCCTGTTTAATATCTAGCTCCACAGGAAAACTAAAGCTCCATGAAAGAGGCAGGACCATCTTTGTCTCAATTAGTCTTGTGTTCCCAATATTCAAAAATGTGTCTCACAGCCTCGCTTATCTTAAAAACATGAATAAATGAATTATAATACAAGAAATAACCTAATAGGTTCCAAAACAAAATGAGATTCTCGATTTCATAAAACTACACACTTCATGAAAAGATATAACTTTATAGATCTAGTATGACAATCAAACTATCAAAATTATCTCACTGTACTAGCTATAAAAAGTCAATAGTGCGCAAACATTTATTAAGCACTTCAGTCATATGTTCCAGGTATTATATATTAAAATTAATTATCCTCAAAAAAGTAAATCAATGGGAAAAATAAATCAAAGAAAGTTAATTTCAATCTTCCATTGTTTTTAAATCTTAAAAAATAATAGTAATAAAATGCACAGAAGGAAACATTTACCTGTATACTGTTCCACTATTTTGATGCCCTAATCAACCCTGCAGTCTGGTTACTGGTTACTGAATATAGAGGCGTCAGGTTCAAAAAGAAAAGCAAAGGCAGAGATGTCTACACACGTACAGATGCCTGAGTAGGTACAGGGTAAGGAAAAGCTCAAAAAAGGATGTGGTATCAGCCTACTGCTTAATATTACAATTAATATGGTAGTTGATGGACTAAAATTTGAATTAAACAAGAAAACACTGCTTCAATGTAAGGCGAGACAGAACTATAGACAGACCTGTTCTCTTAGTTAACCATTACAAGTAAGTCTATGACTAAAATTTCAAATTTAGTAATTATTTATGATCTCCTCCACATCAAATCTCATCCTTCTTGTACAGTTGAAAGTACAACTACATGGTGAATTACAAACACTTGCTTGCCGATTTGCTGATCAGGTGCACTCAGTTTCAAAAACTGTATTAAATCTATAACTTCAGTTGGACATCTTATTTCACTGGTTTAAAAAATGGGCTGGGGATAACTAGACAAGATTGAAAATACAATATCATTAAACTGCCAACTCAAAGCACATACCCTCCTAATGAGTCCAAAATAGCTAAATAGGTTACACTGTATACATTCTTTTATTAAATTCTGGTTTGATAGAATGATGACCTATGGAATTTTTTTCAGGGTTTTAGCCTTCCAGTTATATGACCAAAATATACATCTTTCATTTCTAAATATGGTCATGAGTAGCTTATTCCAAAGTGAAAGTTCTAACTACTTGCCATGTTCTCTACTAAATAAGCAAACGAAATTATTAACCTTACATCAGAAATTAAAATAATAAATACTAATAAATATTTAATACTTAGACCAAAACCTATTTGAGTAGTTTATTACAATGGGCAGCACGGCAAAAGGGAGTGGGCTTCCAAGGAATCTCATTTTGTGATCTTGAGACAATTACTCTACTGTGAAAACAACCAAGAACTCTACAAAGGTTGGTTACTATTATGTGTGTCCAGTAGGACACAAACAGGTTTTCCTCATAAAACAAATGTACTTCACTTTACACAACAGCTATATTTACATACACGTAGCTTTATGTATAATTATTTTTTATATCAGGTCATTTATACTTACAAGCTTATTGAAAGCAATCATATGAGGAACAATCTAATGTTAACATTATCCATTCTTATAAAAAAAGATACACCATTTTTGTAAAAGATTTCCACAGGATGGATTTTAATTCAGGCATGCTTACCCATGTTTAACTATCTAGCTACCTACAATGCAAAAACCACTAGTCCAAGGCCAATCTCACCTACTTCATCAAACCAAATTTGAAATTAATGTGTTATAGCCTTTTGACTGAAGACTTCAACGTCAAATAATTCTATGAATACAAAGTCATTTCAGAGCATATGCTAACTTCTTTTAATGAAACTGGCAGTCATAGGAACTCAGTTAAAAGATTTATCCAAAACCATAGAGAGTAGCATAAGGCTTATGCCATTAAAAGTCACATTTTCGTAACATTTTACGTCAAATAGTAAACACACATTAGCCAATGCCTATTTTAGAGATCTTAAAGTACCTCCCTAACCACATACATTATCTCAAAATATGTATTATTGCTCTTTAATGATATATTAGGACACTTTGTATTTAAAAAAAAAAAAGTCTTCAGTGCTGGACATGGAGAAATACTGGATTGAAATTAAATACCTAGTACACTTGAAATGCAGAAAAGTTTGCCTATATTGGAAACTTCAGTTCTCTGCTAACGTTCACAAAACTCCACCCACTCACATTTCCAGAATCACTAAAAAAGCCATGTCACCGCATTAAAGTACCAGATAAAACCAAACCGGCAACTTAAAAAGTTTGCAAAACACCATGTTATCCCCAATTAAACTTCTGATGTTAGAAACAGTGACTAAGCATGAAGTACAGTGATTCAGCGAAAATCTCGTATTGATTGAAAAATCGAACCCTTAGAAAAATCCTAAAGATATATTTTAACCTACCTACTCTTTTCCTTTTGCCGCGTCAACAACTGGTTTGCTTTGGAAAACCTTGACAAATATGAGCATATGCAAAAATCTGTTAATATAATTTACTGAAGGGCACAGCACAGTACTGAAATGTAGCAAACAGAAATTAAAGCTTAGAAAGTATGGGTTTTTGTATTTAAAGAGTTTTAAGTTGACTTTCATTGGTATCAGAATGCCCATAAACAGCTTTATCTTGGATCCGAGTCAACAAAGCAATTATGGAATAAAAGGTCAATTTCTTCCCAAGCATCTTCTATCTGAAACGTAGGACGTGGCTCAGAAAGAAAAACTAGAGCGGGGCAGAGGGGAATGCAGTACTAGAACCATGGTAAACACACTGTTCTGCCAGTCTCTGCTCTCCCAAATGCACACGTTAAAAACATACTCGAAGGAGACTACTTTGAATTCAATATGCACTCTAAGGCCCCCTTCCAAGCAATGCACTTCAACGGGACAGGACACATAACCTGGAAATGGTCAAACTCCTCAGATCTATAACATCAGGAAGTTTCCCTTTAACAAGGACGGAGGCTAAGAAAGACTAGGAGCCTCTCACTTCCATGAATGGAAAAGTTACTAACTTCACTCATCCCGTGAAGACAGTTTGATGATGCCTCTCGGTCTCACTTTAACCCGTTTGTTCCCCCAAAGAACTCAAGTTTCCAAAAGGCAAAAAGAAAGAGTGGCCGGGTTTTCGAGGTTCTTTGGGTCTTTGGGTTTTCTAAGTTTAGCTCCTGCTTCTTCCCTCCCAACGCATCAACGCGCAAGGCGGGGTGACTCGGGGTCGGTCCTCGGGGTGTGGGTCGCCATTTGCTGACCGCCTCCAAGGCCGGGCGGCCGGGTGGGCGG